ATCTGGCCCAACAATCTCACTTCCAGGTATGTATCTTAAAGAAGTAAGAATTTCTATATGAAAAGATATATCCATACTTATTTTCACTGCAGCATTATTTATATTAGTAAAGACATGGAAACAGCTATCAGACCCAGATTTCCTGTACTGACAAACCCGGATCATCTGCACCAGGACCTGTCCAGAGTGCCAGCCAACATTACAGGGAAATAGAGAGGAAATGAGCAGACAAAAGTGGCCAGAAGACTGAGTCATCATACCAGGGTTAGTTAGGAGGAAGGGAAAGGGAGAAGCAGGCAGTGGGAGACCAGGACCATGCCACATGTGCCAAAGGCTGGACAGGACCAACACTGAATCTGTATAACAGGGAAGGGTCTTTATCTGCTGCTCAATACAATGGAATACTATGTAATACTAATGAATAATTTTTAAAAACATCCCACAACAAAGATGATCCTGGAAGACATTATGCTGACTGAAATAAAAGTCATATAAGACCAGATAATGTATGAATCTACATTATAAAAAGTTAAGGAAACATTTACACATAGAAACAAACATTATTTGATGGTTACCAAGGATCCGAGAGGAGGGGACAGAAAGAATAGAGGGAGAGAAAAATCAAGAATTAGATAATACATTGTAAGTTGGTACTAAGTAAGTAAGGTGAAGAAAAGGATTATATTAAGAGGATGATAGGCATAATATGAAAGGAAAAAGACATGGAGTAGTGCACAAGAATTACAGAAAACAAGGACAAAGACTATTAGATATACAACAATTGATATACAAATACAATTGATATACATTATAAATAATAATCAACATTAATCTACACATGAAACAGAAGAAAAATGTGGAACAAAAATAATACAAAAATGGCCAAGCTTATTGGTCTGATGGAGACAGTGGGATCCTGGAAGCTATAGCCCTTATTCACTCTTTGAGCCTCGAACTGAACTTACTCCTATAATTCAGCTGTCAGTCAAACAATAGATAGACTTACAAGATATGCAAAAACACCATGAAGGTATTTATTTCTTAGAACAATCAACCATACAAGATCAGAAGGACAGCAATGGCCCAGGAATAGAAGTTCAAAAGACAGGAAAGGAGAGAATATAATAATGAATGAAAACAGAAATCACTTCTGAGGATTGTAAGGAGTCCTAGTAATACTGTTTCATCTTGAAGAACTTGACTGCTAACTAAAAAGTTGATGGTTCACATCTATCATTCATTCCACAGTATAAAGATGTGGCAATCTGCTTCTGCACACATTCAGAACCTTAGAAACTACAGGGCCTTCTTCAGTTGCCGCTAAGGTGCTCGGTCCTTCCGAGGAAGCTAAGGCCGCGTTGGGGTGAGGCCCTCACTTCATCCGGCGACTAGCACCGCGTCCGGCAGCCTTCCGCCTAGTACCAGAGTACCATGGCCTCCGTCTCTGAGCTCGCCTGCATCTACTCGGCCCTCATCCTGCACGACGATGAGGTGACAGTCACGGAGGATAAAATCAATGCCCTCA